ATATTCTACCCCCCCCCCCCCCCCCCCCCCAAAAAAAACATAAAACAATTTCCCCCTATATTTTTCATCTGATATTCCAGTTCACCAGTTAACATGCTAATGATCATGATTATAGGTCTACATTATCTATCTATCTATCTATCTATCTATCTATCTGTCTGTCTATCTGTCTATCTATCTATCTATCTATCTATCTATCTAAAAAAAACATTGTGCACACAGCAATAAATAAATACAATTAAATATGCATGCTTTAATATAAATGAATATAAAAAATAAATAAAATTAAATACTATGTATGAAAATACAATTAAACAAATTCAATATTTATTTAAAATAAATAAAAATATAAAATGTATACATAAAATAAAAATACAAATAATATATATTTAGTATGACTAAATTAAACCTTGCAAGAAACTTTACTTGAAGTTTGATTGCTTGTCCTTCTGAGACACTATTTTATGATCAAATTTACACTTGAGTACGTCCTAGCAAAAATCTCGTAAGTAAGAATGCTGCCCAACGCCAGAGCCTTCGGTCTCGTCCAAAGCCAGAAGACGGATGGAGTGAGTGCCAATGTGTTACTAACTTGAGATTACACTTCACATGTATTATGCATGTTTGCCTACAACCCTCCCTTGAGGAGCACGTTGACACTGGGAGTGAGACATCGGCCAAAAAGCTTTGATAATGAAAATTTAAGTTGCTGGAAGAAAACAGAGAGTGGAAAAAATAGCTATTGAGCTATTGATGCATTTTCCAGTCATGTCAGACCAGCAGCTGTCCACAGGGACTGACTAGATTGTGTTGTCCTCAGAATGACCTTGCAGTGGAGTCGTGCGAGACAGCCCCGGGACAGACACCCAGCGCTCCAACACCTGTCCCCAAACTCCACTCAGTGTTCCCTGAATACATCACATCAGGAAAGCAGTGCGCTTGAGGCTGCTTGGAGAAAACAACAAGCGCGAAATGCCAAGACGGATATTTTCTGCTCACCGTAGCCTGCCCACACATTGTCAGTTTGAAACTTTTTCTCCACAAGCATTCACAGCCAGACATGACAACAGTCTGACTAAAGTTGACTGCACAAACAGCAGAGAGTGTCCATGCAGCAACTGTTTCTGCAGGTGTGCTTAAAATTGTTTACAGGTGATGTAAAATACATTCATATAAAACTAAAAAATGTGGTGTTGATGGTCCTGGGTCTTAAAGGTATAGCCATCTGTCATCATTTACTCACCCTCATGTTGTTCCAAACCTGTATGAGTTTCTTTCTTCTCTTGAACACAAAAGAAGATACTTTGAAGAATATTGGTGACCAAACAGTTGACGGCAGCCATTGACTGCCATAGTATCTTCAACATGTTTTCCACTGAACATTTGTTTTGATCGATTTTTAGAGTTTACACCGAAAAGTTCACATTTCTGTGATATTCGCAAACAGTGAATTACTGTCGCAAACTCTGACAGAAATTCAATGATGTCTAGGCTGTGCATGGTTGGTTATCATGGCACACCTGATCCAAGTTGGCTGTTATGCTTTCTCCAATGGTAGACTTGCAGATCCCAAAAATAATGCTGCCTTCACGTGCTATCGGAATTATTGTAAATACGAGTTTCATAAAAGGAAACTGGATGTGAATGGCCACTCAAATCGTATTTACTGGAAACTAAATAATTTTGATACCAGAGTATTCAAGCAGGGCAGACCATAAACTTTAAACATGGTAGAGGGGACAACGCTTGCTGCTGTCAATGCAATTTTTCCCCCCACAACAACACATTGTCTTGTTGCTAAAGTAGTCTATTTATAGCAAGGGGAATGTTTATATGCTTGTCAACCAATGGGATGCTACATTTTGATTCTTTCCAACAACAAAGCACTTAAATGCGACAAGCTCGTTATCACGACTTCATAAGTGGGAAATAGGAAATTTCTGATAGCACGTGAAGGCAGCATAAGACCATCTTGGGTTCAAGTCAAAAAACCAAGAAGGACGCATCCATTTTTAGTGCAACAAATGGATAAAAATGTAAAAGCGCTGTATTTTACACAAATAATATTTTAAATTGTGGCCATGTCGTACTAATTTGTTCCCTTGACTTAGTTAAATTATGGCCAGTGTTCCCTCATTTTAGGTTCAACTGTAGATTTGTACTAATTTGTTCCCTTGATTTCATTAAATTGCGGTCACATTTTAATAATTAAGTGTAGTTTATTTAAATCATGGCCACAACTGAACTAAAATGAGGGAATAAATCATGCAACCAAATTATGGTCCCATCACGATATCTTGCTTTTTCACCGCATGTCATGGACGGAAATTATATTCTCTTTTTCCTAGGAAAAAACTAAAATATATATTTAAAATTTCAGAAGAAAATGTGAGTGATGTTTGTCCATACAAAACTTGCAGTCATGATGTTGAGGAGCTGCAGGTGGTTGTCAGGGAACAGGGTAATGCTATGCAGTTACAAAGATATGCTAAATGGTTGTAAGCATGTTGCTGTGTGGTTGCTAGGGTATTCCAAGTGATCACTTATTGGCTCAAGTGTGAAGAGCTCACAGTCACAGCCTGCCACAGTTCTGCTTGTATCAGATTGAATGAACAGCTTTTAATGCATTATGCCGACACAGCATTATTCAATCTGTTGTAGCGCATGGTTGAAAAGATGACACACAATACAATAAATCAGTAGCTTGTTAAATTATACATACTTTGCATATTTTATAGCAGATTCGATTTTCTTACAAACTGTTCATCTAATGTGCTCTGAAAGTCACCGAACGTCCAATCCTCAATGATTATGCTGCTTGCACAATGCGATTAACCCATGCAGCACACGTTCCTGGATCAACATCCTGTGTTCAATCAGTTATTTCGCTTTGATTTCAGGTTAGGGTTGGAATTGTATGATTGGAGTCGGTAAAATGTTTCAATGTTTTTGAAAGAAGTGTCTTATGACCTTAGGCTGCATTTATTTAAGCAAAAATACAGTAAAAACAGTAATATTATGAAATATTATTGCAATTTAAAATAACTGTTTTTATGTGAATATATATTATAATGCAGTTAATTCCTGTGATGTAAAGCTGAATTTTCAGCATCATTACTCCAGTCTTCAGTGTTGAAATCATTCTAATATGCTGATTTGATGCTCAAGATATGTGATGAATAGCAAGCTCAAAACAACATTTCAATCACAACAACACTTGGAATAGTTTTAGCATGTTCATTTTGCTTGGTGGAATAGTAAATAGGAGCTAAAACTCCCACCTGGGTGACATAACAGACCATGCAAAATAAAAATTTAAAAATTAAAATTAAAATTAAAATATTGCAAAGTAACGTTGCAACCTTGCAAACAATAATAAAATCAGAGAAGGACTTCAACTGTAAGCGACACGAGTATACGCAAAACAATATGATGTTTGTCATTATTACAATTTTATATAGCCTAGCCCACATTTTTATTAACTTTTTTTTTTTTATTTACCGCTTAGGCAATAACGTTGACAATAACTTATATCTTCAACATATGTTGTCTATGACCAAAAATGTAAGTTGTTCAGTGGACTTTTAAAATTTGTTTTGTTTGAGAAAATTAAAATATACCGTTAGTGTTTTTTCTTTTCTTTTGATTTAGTCGAGTTGGTTTTGCATCAAACACAATGTAATTTTCGGCAATCGAGATCTGGCAGCAACAGCACATTTTTCCATTTGGGCGAGCGCTTCGCAAACAGCTTACCTCGCGCATTAAATCTGCCGCAGACCAGCAAATCACTGAGAACGCGCATCGATCCTGACGAGTCATAGCAACAGAGCGGAGGCGAGAAAGCTGCGGAGAATCTGCTTGCCTGGAAGCAACCATAACTGATGTAGATTTACAGAAAATTACTGCCATTTGGCAAAAAAATCATTTTACGTACGTATTCCTAACTCTTTAAGCTTTAAGTTACATTTGACAAATGACAAGGGATCAATTTATAATCATGTTTTTTGAATTATCCCGTGAACTTATTCTCTCAAATGGCCTGGGTATGCGGAGCATTCGCAGCTTATATGGACGGAATGCCACTGATAAATCCATTAGTAGATCTAGACAGGTGGAGCTGGGGGAGGTGGAGGGTTTAAGAGGAAATCTGATAGAGTGCCGCAGGACCAGCTAACAGTGAACACTGAACTAGACTATTTAAATGTTGAGCAAGCGATCTCACTGGCTGCAGAATCAGAAGAGGCCAATCAGCTTGCCATGTAATAAACTGTGTAATTTGATTGCTAGCAGGTTGTATGTACACAATCTTTCAGTTTCATGACTGAAATTGGTATTTATTAGAAACAGAATTGTACATAATACATAACTGTATTAAGAATTGTTAAAAAGAACAGTATAAAAGTCTTTACTGTCACTTTTGATCACTTTAATGGGTCCTTGCTCTGAAAGAAGCATTTCGTTTCTGTAACAAATCTTATAAATCATGTTTTTGGAATTATCCCGTGAACTTATTCTCTCAAATGGCCTGGGTATGCGGAGCATTCGCAGCGTATATGGACGGAACGCCACTGATAAATCCATTAGTAGATCTAGACAGGTGGAGCTGGGGGAGGT